ACAAGTATGGATCCCATATCCGTACTTGTCAATAAATTGGTTTAGTTAATCAATTCATTAATCCAGTTCTCGGGTACTTTTTGGTCGCGACAGATAGCCTAGCTAAATGGGGCCGAACATTATCTGGTTGGTGAGGTTGTATTGCTGCAGTAATGGGTCAACATAGGGTCGGAGGATCTAATCTCTATACCTAGGGGCAGTTAAATTACGTCACACCTGTAGGCCTGTTCAATTGGTTATTGACAAAAACCAAAGACCGCACGGCCTGTAGGTACACCTACATAATCATATACAATATACAAGTGGCAGAATGGAGGTTAGATAAAATAGCATACACCATTAAATTGACAATTTAGTGTTAACAATATCATCTACTGGAAACATTCACCATTTTGATCATCTAATGCATCTACTATTTATGTATTTGTAACATTTCTTAAATCCATGGCTGACTTCAGAAATCTACATATATTGAGTTGTTGTTTATAGTTTTCCTCTGTTAGTAACTAAATAAGTTTGTACACTGATGGGCGATTACAAAATATCTTTTTACATATTTTTCCTTAGGTTAGAATATAAAGGACAGCTTAGCATGAAATGGTACTCATCTTCAATTTCTTGTAATTGACAATACATACATTATCTTTGACTTCTTATCTTTGATAAGTAATACTGCAGTGAATAACTACGGTTATCAATTAGATATTTATATAAATCACGTTTACTCGATGTTTCAAAACTTGATAACATATTTCGGAAGAAAATATCATTCAGTCTCATTTTAACAGTTTTTAAAAATACATTTTTGTCAGAGTAAACAATACCTTGATTTTCCCCATACATACATAAATCCTGTAGTACACAGGTTGTGTTTAATATGACTCACCCAGTTTACAATTCTACCGGGATTTGCATTACAAATGTTAAGTTGTTCTTGGTATATACCCTATAAAATACAATTGTCAGTATCCAAAAATGTTAACCAATATTTAATAGCTTGGACATTTCTGTAAATGTACAATGGCACTCATCCAAGCTCATTGTAAATCATCATATTTGAAGCTCTAGAAGGAGCCTTCAGAATTTTTTTTACAAAAATACAAATGTACATTTTCTATATCTTTGGCGGCGTGAAAACCCCATACCTCTCAACCATAGTTAAGTATACTTGTAACGTATGTGTCAAAAATTGACTGTTTAGTAATGACATTAAACTGATATTCTCTAAAATATTTTTCTAAACCAAACAACGCTTTTTTGCCTTGTGTAGCTAAGGTTTTCTGAGTAGCAGTAAATTTACCATTGTAATTGAATACAAGTCCTAAGTAACAAAAATATCGTACAATTTTAACAGATATAAAACTATAATTCCAGCGTTCGTTCTCTCTAACATTACCGCCATTCCTAAAAATCATACCCTTAGTTTTATTTATATTTACAGATAACTTCCACTTATTACAATAATTACTGAGTTCATTAAGCATAGACTGTAAGCCTTTTGCAGTCTCAGAAAATAAAACCGTATTATCGGCATACATTAATAACATAAGCGATACATCACAAAAATTCAATTGCGTCGCAATTATGATATAAATCATTTTCTAGATCGTTAACGTACAGAGAAAACAAAATTGGAGATAACGATTCACCTTGGTACAATCCGAGATTACCGGAAAAATCGTCAGATAATAATCCATCTTTTCTGACACGTGTTTTTACATGAGTATACAATGATTGTATCATTTTTAGCATTTTACCAGTTACATTTTGTTTGATAAGTTTTTTCCACAGGAAAGTTCTGTTCACAGTGTCGAACGCCTTCTGGTAATCAACAGAACAGCAGTAGAGACGTTTTTTCTTTGTTAAATAATTGTTTATTAGACCATGTAATGCATAAATTGCATCTACAGTTCCATAACGTTTTTAAAAAACATATTGTGCATCTGACATCACATTGTATGATTCTGACCAGTTTAACAGTCTGGTGTTCAAAGCTGATGTAAATATTTTACCCAAGTTACTAACAAGTGTTATACCTCTGTCATTATTCACATCGTTTTTGTCCCCTTTTTTATACAAAGGGATAACAATACCTCCCGCCCAAGATGTAGGGAAAAACCCAGATTTAAATATACTGTTAAATACTTTACATAACAAAGGTACAAACATTTCCTTCGCATGTGTAAAGTATTCATTTAATAAATTGTCAGCACCTGGGGATTTATCATTGTTGATACAATTTAATACTCTCAATACTTCAGACTCTGTTATTACAGCGTCCAGTTCATCACACACAGTCGGGAATATCTTGTATAATGTCACTTTCGCTTGTGTCGGAAGTACACAATGTTTTGAAGTATTGGTAAAAATCTTCACAATTTAGAGAATTTCTTGTTACTTTCTTAAAACAATTTGAAGTACTGATTTGGATTAATCTTACTTAAACTTTCAATAAAATTCCCTTCTTGACGTTTATATTCGTTACGCAAACGTCGTTCCAATTGTTTATATTTACGTTTGCAGATCATAGGCCGATTACGGCTATGTAAATTTCGTGACCGATTAAATTGCAGCTCGTCGTACAAGTAGCTTGACGTCGTCGTTGTCACGGTACAGTGTCTGGAGTCCGGTAGACTGGGCCTTTCGCCAAATGCACTGGTTGAAGTGGAAAAATATCCCTTAATGGTGATACCGTGGAAAACATGTCGGATGGCGTTGAGTGCAGCTACCTCAAAATCGACGAAGGCTGTAGTGGGTCGGAATGGAATGTCGAAGTGTGCCATGTGACCATGGAGAAGGGTGAAGAAACGGCTGTAGATTGCCTGGCTCTTTCCGAGTAGTAATGCGTATACGACTGGTGTCATGATGCCTTCATTCTGTACATGGACGCTGTAAATCTGATGAAACATTGTTGGACAGTTGTAGAAAGTTCCGTCACAGAAGAAGGTGTCAGATGCTGCAAGTTCGGCCAGGTTCTCCGACGAAGCGAATGCGATCATCCTGTTGTTCTGTTCACCGTCGTCAAAGAGGAGAAATGGTTCGTCAGTAGATGCTTCTGTCCATCTTCCATCCAAGGTGATGTCGGCCAAAGGTAGTGGAGGAGTCTGCTTGCGGCGAGCACGGTAAAGAGACGATTTCGCTGTGTAGAATGTTGGTAGTCGCTGGACCACGGCCTTGGAAGTGTCATCCCAGTCGTTGTCTCGGGTTAATTGAGCTCTTCCTCAAAGATGGACGGAATAGGCTGGACCGATTATACGCATTTATTGGTGATCTGGTTCATGATGTGTTTGGCAACAACACTGGCTGGGTCTGAGGGGTGGGTGTGTGAATTTCTTCCGAAGTTAGCTGGTATGTTGTCGATTGTCGAGAGTGATGCTGAGCAGCCTGAGGTCGAAGATCTCCAGAATGTCCTGCTGCCGTTCTTTCGAATCTGTCTGAAGATGAATCCATTATGTGAAAGGTTCTGTCCGCCTCTTCTGTTGGTGATGAACTTAACGTTGATCTGAGCATTAGCCATACTGTCCTTGTATCAAACAACACAGATAATGATATCACTCAAATTAAACACAATTTACGTAAAAACTGAGAGAAAATACAAGATTAACTAATATTTGACAAAAGTTACAATTTACATAAAAACTGAGAGAAAATACAAGATTAACTAATATATATATGGCAAAAGTTATGATTTGACAATATCTATCTGTGACAAAAGTACAGTAATAAATCAAGCAATGATTGAGATATTGATCTTTCAAAGTGCAAATTGAAATATGATAATTTCCCAAAATGAACTTGGCTTTTATACATTTCCCATTGAATAGCTTGGGATTTAAACAGATTTAACAAAGATATTTGATTCCTTTATTTTACAGTTATTAACAGTTTTCAGTTTTCTGAACAGTTATCAGAATTTACCTGCGCAAGTTACCTGTACTACAATTCTAAAACAGCCTACACAGTTGACCTCCTATGTAAACATGTTGTCATATACAGAGTTGGTGTTCGGGGAAGACCCCACCCGTAAACAGTTTTTCTTGTGGAAGACACAGAGGTGAGAAACTTTATCACTGATATTGTGTAAGTTTTATTTTCACATGAAAACGGTCATAATTTGTTTTTAAAATAGTCGTATCACTAAACATACCGATATGACTTAAATTCCATATGGAAACCATAACGTCATTTGAATTTAGATAGAAAATTAAAACAGTACCAGAGAATGCATATATTTCCTCCAAACTTCTGACGGTTTCTTATTTTTTGCAGTCTTTATAGTATATGTCTTGTCCTCGATGGTTTTTTCCTAAACTAAAATTTTGATAAAATGAAATATTCATTTAACAGTCTTGTTTCAGTATTTGTCAAAACTGATGAACAGTAAAACATGAAATAATCTTGTCACAGTCTGTCATCAACATGTTCTACAGTAAGATTTTCTATGGCCCTGTTTTTGTCTTTATTTACTTTCAGACAGTCAGTGTCCTTGTCAGTCTTTGTCATCAACATGTTCTACTATAGGATTTTCAATAGCCCTGTTTTAAGCTTTAGTTACTGTCATACATTCAGTGATCTTGTCACAGTCTTTGCAATTATAATATTTTACAGTAAGATATTCAATAGTATTGTTAGTTTCACTTTCGAGGAAATGATTGCGCGATGGTAACTACTGGAAACTGTAAACAATAAACACCAATCCATTTACAATATCCAGTATCCGACGGAGAGACCGGTATTAACGTTAGCTGTCACACCCGTAAACAGTTTTTCTTGTGGAAGACACAGAGGTGAGAAACTTTATCACTGATATTATGTAATATTTTACAGTAAGATATTCAATAGTGCTTTTAGTTTCACTTTCGAGAAAATGAGTGCGCGTTGGTAACTACTGGAAACTGTAAACAATAAACACCAATCCATTTACAATATCCGGTATCGGACGGAGAGACCGGTATTAACGTTAGCTGTCACACCCGTAAACACTTTTTCTTGTGGAAGACACAGAGGTGAGAAACTTTATCACTGATATTGTGTAAGTTTTATTTTCACATGAAAACGGTCATAATTTGTTTTTAAAATAGTCGTATCACTAAACATACCGATATGACTTAAAATTCCATATGGAAACCATAACGTCATTTGAATTTAGATAGAAAATTAAAACAGTACCAGAGAATGCATATATTTCCTCCAAACTTCTGACGGTTTCTTATTTTTTGCAGTCTTTATAGTATATGTCTTGTCCTCGATGGTTTTTTTCCTGAACTAAAATTTTGATAAAATGAAATATTCATTTAACAGTCTTGTTTCAGTATTTGTCAAAACTGATGAACAGTAAAACATGAAATAATCTTGTCAGTCTGTCATCAACATGTTCTACAGTAAGATTTTCTATGGTATGTTTAGGCTTTAGTTACTGTCAGACATTCAGTGACCTTGTCACAATCTTTGTCATCAACATGTTCTACAGTAAGATTTTCTATAGTCCTGTTTAAGCTTTAGTTACTGTCAGACATTCAGTGAGCTTGTCACAATCTTTGTCATCAACATGTTCTACAGTAAGATTTTCTATAGTCCTGTTTAAGCTTTAGTTACTGTCAGACATTCAGTGAGCTTGTCACAATCTTTGTCATCAACATGTTCTACGATAAGATTTTCAATAGCGCTGTTTTTGATTTGTACCCGAGGGTGAACATTATGTTTGCAAACATACGGGTTAGAGATTGATTGTAATAATCGAAGATTAAGATCCCTCCAATCTCAAAACATAAGGAGAGAATGATCATTTCTTATCATCCTTGGAATATTGTGGGACGAGACGAGCTCACACCAGTAAAAATGAAGATACACCCAAGAAGGGTAAGAGAAATGTTAGCATGTTATTAAATGTTTTTAAAATCCGTCTGCATCTTAGCTAACAATTCTTAAAATATTGCACGATGTTATCGTGAAGATTGATACAATAATAATGAAGACAAGAAATTCCTTTTGTTGTTTTACTAAACAACTCATGATGATAGGAATCACGGAGCACCTATTTGTTATAAGTCAAGTTGAACGCGATTTAAGAATTGCCGGTGACTGTTGACAAGGCGTTGGAATAAGGCTCCTGTTACAATGACGGTTTGATGTGTATGTTTTGCAGACTTGTGTAAAAAAAAAAACCCAATCAATTACAGCTATCGGATTTGCTATGCAACAGTTGTTCCTTTCAACATTTTACAAATTATATTTTAAATGTCTATACATTGTATGCCATCGAACGTGGACTCGACAAAATCATTGTATCAGAAATGTTTTTAGAATTTTGAAATATAATTTGTCGATATGAAATCCGGTTCCCGCCTACCCAGGTGAGACCTGTATGCCGTATTGTTACACAACAAAAGCCTGAGCGTTTCTGAAAATGATTACCAATGCAATAACAGAAATTAAAAATAGATTAGATTTAAAGCGTACAACTACACCTTGAATTCTATATAACGAAATACACCACAACAAGATAGGTGTGAAAATAAGTCAGATTACATGCACATTGAATATTTTAGTACATATCTGTAATAAACGGCTGCATTATTGCATATAGCCTATTTGATAACCGAAAAACACTCAATCCTAGTAACTTACCAATATTTGTGTAGAGTGATAGATGACTCATGCAACCTTATCGTAGGTTTAATTGTCATAAACATGACTAGACTAGTTTGATGGCAAGAACTTACAATAGACTATTGACATACCTTAGGGGATAAATTGTGCCCCTGTTAGCTGACTTGATATTTTTGTTTTCATATCAGACTCAATTGTTTTGAAGAATTTATCAAAACAGGTCACAAAGACCTTGCAAAGTCGTTTAATTTCACGTTAAGATATATTGATGAGGTCTTGACTACGTCCATGGTATATACCCACCAGAATTGGAAATCACGAAAAGGATTTCAAAGGATGCAGGTTGATTAAAATTATGGGGAACCATAACGGTAGCCATAGTGATCTCATTGAGAATTATTCTATTTCTTTGTGCCATATGAAGTTGGACGTGTTTGATGTTCGTTGTTGTATAACTTGTTCTCTTTTGAGAACGTGACATTACATACTAGCTATTGACCAAGATTGACAAAGCGGTGTCGTCAATAAAGCAGAAGACTTATGTTTTTCCGGAACACCTGGGCTTAAGTTTTTCAGGAGTTTCTCGTTCATTCTTTGTCCTAGTTTTATTGATTTAGATTCTTACCTTTATTTTTCCTGCAGTTTAATCAGTGATGTCGGTAGCCATGTCAGCATCGATGTCAGTACAACCGATGTTGCAACAGCCTATTCCCCAGAGGATCGGTGAAGTGGGTGGTCACAGAGAGTGGTCAACAGGATTGTTCGGTTGCTTCTCCGACTGTAGTTCATGTAATGTATACGTTCTTGTTAAGATCTTTTTGAGTAAATGTTTTCCTTATATTTTCGGACAAGGCTTTCAAAATATTTTGGTAGATTACTACCCTTACTGTCGGTAAGTATAAAAGGCATTTATTGATTTATTTCATAACGGTTTTACCAAAATTACCCAACGTTTAAATTTTCAGATTACTGTTTTTTTAAATTTCGATAATGTATATGAAAGTGCTTTTTATTTGTATTACTAGAAACTTTATTTGATATTACTTCTGAAGAATATGCTAGAAGTATGTCCTCAAGCTGATTTAACGTTATCTAACGCTCAACATTGACGTATTCTGCAATTAGTTTTATCAAACATTGTTTTAATACAAATTCATGTTCCATATATTTCTGCAATTTATCAATACCTTTAAAACCTCCTTTACCTCTCATTCCGGCAAAATATTGTCATTAATAGAGACATTCGCCCAGTACCTGATATGTAATGGCATAGTAAGACGTGTTGAAGAATTTAATGGAAAGGTTCTTTTGTAAGAATACTTTTATACAGGATATTAAACGATATAATATCTGTCCCTACGGTCTCAGTTTAGGGTGTCTTTACGTACTTCTGATATCACCCACAGGTATCATGACAATGCTCTGTCTGCCTGGTATGGAGTGTAAAAATGCCGCACGCCTGGGTGAGTGTTGCCTGCTGCCACATTGCTGCGCTGGTTCAAACATCGCCATGCGTGCTCGCCTGAGGACTCTCGGCGGAATACGAGTAAGTCAGCCCTTCTATTGATCTTTTGTTCGCTTTCACTGTGAATACATCTATTTATGCTATTCTGAAAGCTGTCCTGATTCATCGTAGTCTGCATTTGTTTGTTTTAGAGATGAAGCTCAAATAAAGTTGTTCGATTGCTGTTATGGAATTCTCAATCGGAGAGTTTAAATGACCTTTTCATCGTGTTATGAATGGTGATAATTTGTTGCAGTGCCGTTGTTATTTACTGTGCTTTATGCTACCCCAAATTATTGTTGGTTATCGCATAAATGATTTGTTAATGTGTACAATATTGGCTTAGATTTATGTTATTACTAGCACTTCCTAAATACCTTATCCAAATGGTGATCTATGACATGGCGGTAATCTTATACTTCATTTTCCTGTGAAGACCTAGAACGTATGATGATTTGGAGATAGGGTTAAACTATCAATACCAACCCTTTGTTAAGCCATAAACATTTACTTCCTTGTCACGCCTTTCAGAATTTACACATAAATAGATATATAGATTATATATATATATATATATATTACCCTTACGCCTTCCCTTCACTTTAGTGTATATTCTTATTCTGTATTCTCCTTTTTAACTATTTTTATTTCATTTCCATCTTATTTCTTTCGTATTAACTCCCCTGTGGTTATACTAGGGTTAGTATACAGTGATTACCTGGTGCCTGTATGCCTGTCCTGACAATTCTTACTCAAGTTGCGAACAAAGTTGTACGGAACTTTACACATATGGTAATTCTTGCCTGAAAGTATGCATTTTAACTTATTTAAGCTACAATTTTGTTATAGATTGTTTCAAAAACAGGAGTGTCTGTAATTATTAATTTATGTGTTTGTTGTCTTCCATGGCAGTTTTTGTATGAAGTATAATTATCAAGTTTCTAGCTAGGTATATTGAGTGATATTTATTTTCATATGTTTGAATTGATGCATTGGGTTAATGTCTATTTTTATATGTTTGCATTGAAACAATGGATGATGTTAATTTTGATACCCTGGGTGATGTTTATTTTTTCAGATTTTTGTATCGATACCTCGGTTGATGTTTATTTTCATATGTTTGTAATGATACTTGAGTGATGTATATTTTCATATGTTTGTATTGAAAACTTGGATGATTTTTATTTTTATATATTGATATTGATACTTGGGTGAATTTTTATCTGTTTCTCGAGGAGTATTTGGCCTTTTGTTATGTTTTTTATGTTTCGAGGGAAACATCTGGGCTAATTTGTTTATTTCTTTACTTTTTCTAGGGAAGTATCCTGCAAGACATATGTGCATTTTGTTTGTGCTATTCGTGTACAGTGTGCCAGATGTCCAGGGAGATGGACAATATGGGACTTTAATTTGACGGAGATATTGTTGGTCACCCGATCGTTAATAAATCAAAATAAAAAAAAGTCTTCAATTAGAATTAGATTTGTGCGTGAACGTTGTTTTTAAACCACTCCTTACGAATAGTTTTTTTAATGTTAAATTCCTATTAAGTATAGCTTTTTTAATGTTAATTCCTGTTAGGTATAACTTTTTTTAATATTAAGTCCTGTTAGGTATAGTTTTTTAAAAAGATAAATTAATTGAAAAGTTGTGGAGCGGACTAAATGTGAATTGAAAATGCATAGTCTTATCACTATCTACTGCATATCGACGAACAAAAGTGCGACTGTTTTAAAAAACAACATCATAGAAGCTTCAATAAATACATAAATGTTTCCAAAATGTTTTTGGGCGTTCAATGTAATATATGACATTTGCTGTGGAAAAGTGGATAATTGTAAACAGCTACTGGACAAAGCAGGAAAGTTTGTACATATTTTGTGAAAGATTTGTATATCTATATTTAATAAACCGTCACAGTATGAAGGCCTATGATAATAAAAGACCAAGTATGGCAATTATTTTCTTTGATATTTTGCTTGTTGTTTTGTCATATTATGGAGATTCGTATGGTTTGTCAATGAGCTACAAAACCCTTTTGCGTTCTTTTTATTTTCTTATTTTCCACATTTTTTGTAAGTTTGCACTATTTTATGAATACTTGAATACTCCCAGCATCTATAGAATCGGCAGAGCTGTTACTCTTTAAACTCCAAGATATCAAAAAAGAAGCAAGCAGGAAAAAGTGATATATACCATTTCAAACCAACCAATGCCACAGCATAGAAACGAAAACAATAACTAAAGGAACCTAATTTATTGCAGAAGACATGCAGGTAGGGCAGAAGAATTCTACTTGCCATTCTATTGCATAATCGTAAAATGCAACTCCTTCTTTCTAAACATTTTTCTGTTTCCATCGACACTACTTCCGTTTTGTCTCTGAGGGAATCGTTTGCATCTATGATCTAAGATGAGGAAAGCTGTTTTTCGTGACAAAAGTTTCGCGAGGCGAAACAATATACACATGGCCTATACCAAATCGAAACAAATTATTGCGTTGAAATGAATACAAACAAAGAAATAATTAATTTCACGGAGAAAGTACAATTTCTTGTCATTACAATAAAGCCTACCGTGTTTGAAAGATGTGAATCAAATTCTGATTAAGAGGGTTTCCGAGTAAGATAAAAACGCTAAAAAGACATGACAATCCCTTCAAAGACTTCTAAAAATGAGCGAATCAAATTGTCATTTTGGAATAGATAACGACTGCACTATTAAAAATTATTTCATTATAATAATTTCATTTATCATATGAAGACCACACACTCTTTACGGTCAGCTATTCCAACTTTAGTTAAAGTCGTTGGAGTTATGTCCCTTGTATCTGTATCCTTGATGTTCATTACGTCATAGCCGTGCATTCGCCATTTTGCAAGGTCATTTCAAATTCTGCTGTGCTTTTTTGTTTGTGTCTTTGCAGTGACCTGGACATCAGGAACCTATCTGTCAAGATTTGCAGTGACCTGGGCATCAGGAACCTATCTGTCAAGACTTCAACTACACTCCTTGCAGTGGCTCAGTTTTTTGCACTCTGACAACAGATTGCTTATCATTTCCTGAATTTAATATTAATGCCTCACTTACTAGTTAACATCAGCTATTTTGGAGGAATTTTCTGTACCCAGTTTCCTCCATTCTTATGCCGATTCAGTTGAAGTCATTTGCCTATATTCGCCATCTATATGAAATATTACATCCCTCAAAATAAATATGAACATAATCTGTATCAACTGTCTTGGTTATTTATTTAGTCTTCTATTTGATAAACATTATTATAATGCAGTTGTTATAAAATATTTATTATAAATTATGAATATAACAAATCTGAAAGGGATTGGTAGAGTATTGGGGAAGTTGATCTCCAGGCAATGAAAAGTACAAAGTTGAATAACGCAATGCGCTCCATCACAATTGTTGAACTGCATACAATAGTGATAGCTACTGCTCATTGTTTAATGCTTAGTATCGTAGTTGTGTTAATCCTCACTTGAACTTAGTCATTAAAGTATAACCGGATTGGATGTCTTGCTGGGTTCATTCGGCATTATATTTCAGTGTAATAGAACGATAAAGTCAGACTATCTGCCCTATCATAAGGAAGCTTACACGAATATATCGTAGTCGCCAGCTAACACTCGCACTAAGCATATCAACCTTCTCGCATACATAAATAATCCGTCCATTGATGACCGTAACTGTTGATAGAACGTTCAATAATATAAAATCAAAATGGATGTTGTTATCTAAAGCGTTGTTTGTTCGTGAACTATATGAACATAAATGTCTTACTTTAAATACTTACATACTTATATGACACATCTTGGGAAGCTTATTATAAAAATGATGAGAAAAACTGCAAATATTGTAAGTTTTAGGTGCGGCCATGATGCGACATTCACGGAGTTAATAGAATATTAAGCGATGATGAAAGAAACTGGTCATTTAAAAGAAAACGATCATCATTTTTCACATATATTTACTCACTGTTTTCCATGCCAGATAAAATGTATGCTATTTGGAAAACTGGCTTTTTTCAGAACAGATTGATTGCAATGTCTAAAAATGTATTGATTGTTCATGAAATTTATCCAAACTCTCAGACGCCTTCAACGCTTTATAAGAAGATGTCACACTATATGGCTTTGAAACAAATGTATAACTGTGCCTGGAAGACGATTCAATATCATGGACTACCAATGCCAGATTCAAAAATCATTACATTGGACATGATTTACCGAGAAGGGTAAATGCTACTGACCTGTCACGTGTGTCCGAGTACAGCCATAGAGGTTTTGTTACCATGTACAAAACTGTGGACACAGGAATTACTACAGTTTAGGGAGTATGTAATGCCTGACTGTAAACATTTCGGGTATAACGACAAACCCTTTGATATTTTCCTCCTTGACCACAACGCTGGCGTTGTATCGTTGTCATTTGCATTATGATCTTTAAAACTATTGTTAATGATGAGAAATAATAATAATAAATGTTTAAATCAAGATGATTTTTAGTATTTACTGGTTGCAGTTTTCACGTAGATGTATTTAAATGAAAATCACTCTTCTAAAAGTAACAATTGGCAATAATAGTAATAGATATCTTATTAACTATTAATGACTAAATTACCATTAAATTTAAGATTGTACAAAAGACACACAAGTGAATAGCACTTTTCAATACAGATTTAGTATTAGATAAGTAGAGACCAACAAGGAATGAAACTGCATCATACAGCTGTTTCGCCCTTCGGTGATGCTAAGGGCCTAAATTTTGAAACCTAGGAGGCGACTGAGAAAAATTCAACAATCACTTTGATGAGGCTGTATATTTTGGATACGTTTTATTTCAAACCATGAACAACTTAACATCATTGTCGATGATTAACTCGTCATATGTACCAAGTTATCTAGATTAATTTCGCAGACTAAATGACCTGATGATAATTTTATTTATACATGTTGATATTAAGATGAATCTATTGAGGATGGTTAAGTTGTCCGATTTTTTTGTGCACTAAAAGATGTTATAAAGGACGAAAAAAAATATCAACAAGGCAATATGATCATAATTTAAACTCAAATTTCAGAAAGATAGGGCAAAATATGAACAAAAGAAAGATTTACACAGAGACTAATAAAAAGGAAACTGAGAATAAGACCATATGTTAATAACTAACAATAACTTATGTAACTTTTAAAGTTTTACTTACAGTTGACAAATGTCTTGATATAAGCAATTTGTTTGATGAATACATTTTTCATTCAAATCATGATGTTGATGGCCCCACAGTTTGTTAAAATTACCCTCGTGTTTATACATTTACTTGGAGATTGATTATTTTTTTTTACATTATATGAATAAACTTATTAACAAAATCATGTTCATTTTTAAACATAAGATACATTCAAAATATTTTTTTGTGTTAAAGGTACAAACGTTTTACTCATTTGTATTGAGAATCGAATGATAGCTGTCCATTTTTGTTGGATAATATGACAGAAATGTTCATCTTCATTTAAAAGCAGATGTTGTCCATTCCAATTTTAATAGCAACATTAATCATGTTTCACTCTGACATTTCATCGGAATTAAAAGCAAAGTATAGCATATATATATATACGTAATTTGTAAAAATCAAATATGTACATTTAAAAACATATGTTCTATATCATTACGCGATTAGTCTTAGTAACATGCTGACATGATTACTCGTTGATAGGGACAGGTATAATAGGACGTCCTTGTTGTTTCTACAATATTAATCAGTCTATTTATCGATGTGTTTGATGAATTGCTACGTGTTGTCTGATGCGACAACCTCACATGATTTCTCTTTTTTCCCTTAGTTTTTAATTTACAAATCTACTTTATAATTTGTAGTTTTTATAATTTGAGCGCCATTTTGTCTTTGTAATAATCAATCAAGAAAGTTCAGAGTTCTTCAGTTATTAGCCATTTCTGTGGTCAAATTTGATACGATATTAATGGATATATTAGTCTTTATACATTTAATAAATGAAACCTATGCTGTACCCAACCACAAATCTGCAGAGTATCTATTATCCCGTAAACGATGAAATAATGTCTTTTGCTGATATGCTCATTTGTCGAATTTTGTCTTTCCTGCAAGTGTCATTCGATACACCTTTTTGATGATTGTACGACTTTCTTTATCTTATAATATCTGGTTCTGTTTATCGCCAGTCATTATTTCCAATTCTGATGGCAGGTCTTGAGTCTCCCATTTTCTTCGCAAGAACCAAGAGTCTGCTTTTGAAATCGTCTCCACTAAGGTATCCTCCCTGAAAGTATTTGGTATTCACTCACAAATTCAGTCCAGTAGAATTCAAATTCAAAGATACAGACAATAAGTTGTGTTGCTTCATATGATGTTTCTGTTTTTTTCACAGTTACATGTTATTTCGGTGTTCAGTTTCCAGGAATCAATTAATTGAAATCCAAAGTTTGAAAAGGTTAGGGATATTTCAGATGCATTTGCATCATTTGTATTTAGCATCAAATCAAAAGGAAGTCAGCGTGAACAGAGAATATTCATGAACATTAAGTAGGATTCGGTTTGGATGTAGGTGTGCATTCAATTTGTGGTTTAACTGCTTAGCAGAACTATGTAACATGCAATCCTCGCCAGTCAAATAAATAGCCATTGCAGAAAATTCTGAAGTGACAAGGAAAGCATAAACTGATAGAATAATAAGATAAATAAATAAATCAAATCATCCTTGAGATGTATAAACAATTATTCACCTGGAAGTGGCGTTGCCCTGAACCCCCTTCCTCGTACGCGCTCCGTGCGTGAAGCATTCTCCTATTGTTGAACGCAATCACCTCTCCTGGTTTAAGTTTGGTTTCAATCTTAAATTTAAACATTAACATACTAAATCAACAGCTCATATTTTAACATATCTGCAAATATATTTTGGCAATACTTTTTACAGACCAGTTTTTAAATTGACATTAAGTCGAAAACTGAGTATATATATATATACTAGTACCCTAATGTTTCAAGCCGTTATATTAAGAAATGTACATCTTTTCTCGTATATTTATTGTACAAAGTTTGTTTATCACTTTTGTTCAGTGCTTTTATCATCATTATAATCATAGTGTGTACACTTACTGCTTCCTCCGAGAACTCGACCGCTCGTCCAAGAAGTTGGTAAGCATTGTAAAATTCTTCCACATCTTCCTGTAACATATTTTCCATATATAAGCGATTTTGATACTTAATATTTACTGTATTAGGGAATAATGTCTTCAAACTTCAGCCTTCCTAATAGGCCTGATAAAGTGGTTTGTCATCTCCATTTCAAGCTTGTGTTTAATCAGTCGATGCAGAATACTGACAAATACAACTCATTTACTATTTGTAATTACAAAAGGCAAAGTGACATCACATTATGACCATTTATTTATAAAAAATATTTTTGATAAACAACAAATGCTTACCTCCGGAACTTCCAGCGGAGCGTGCATGTACGTGTGCCATACAACCGATATCACCTTCAAAATAAACACATAACTGAAATATGCGTGCCAAAAACCGAATACACACAACTCTAAATACCGTGTAATATATTTCCCCCGAAATACATCGGTTAAATGTTTAAAAAAAACTCGATATTATAAACGTTCATTTTCCCCCTAAAGATTGATTAAATAGATAATCAATGAATTGTTCAGAGGAAAACATTGAAAGACATCTTCAAACACGTTATTTCCGGAGTAAGGATTTATTCTGTATAAAGATATTTTGTTTGAAATAATCTGACTGACAGCAACAAGAAGTAGATATCATTTCATTTTAGTCTGGATAAGTGTATGGTTTTACCTCTCCACGGTCATCAAGGTATATCATTGGTCTTCTTTTGGACATCAGAACAGGGTAGTCACTGTAAACGATGATTTTTATATGATATTACAACATATTATGTGGTTGCCACTAGTACGGAACGCGATTACTATCCAGTGCCATTTGGTTACTAGCTTGTGTTAGGTGGTTACTCATCTTTGCTAGGTAGTAACTAGCCTGTGTTGGGTGGTAATTATCCTGTTTTAAGTGGTTGCTATTTTGTTTTTGGTGATTGGTAGCTTGTGTTACGTATTTGCTTTTTTTTTAAATTTGATGGTTGGTAACCTGTGTTAGATGGTTATCACTTTGTGTTGAATTGTTAATAACCAATGATAGGGGGCAGCAATCTGGGACATAAAATTAAATCCTAACAAAACCACATCAGTTACCTTTTCAAGAAAACAGGACAAAAATCATCCACCAATATACTTTCAAGATAATCAAATCACAGACACTTCAGCACACAAGCACTTAGGACTAACACTTCAAGACAATGCCGCGTGGAAACAACACATTCAGAATATATATAAAAAAAGCTTACAAAAGACTAAACATTCTTCGCCTTGTTAAAACAAAAGTTAATAGGAAGCCATTGATTAAAATATATGTAGCATTTATCAGGCCACTCTTAGAGCATACGGATGTAATTTGGGATAGTTGTACACAACAAGACAAAGATCTCTTGAATCCATACAACTTGAAGCAGCAAGAATCATTACTGGACAGAGATCTGGGACTTCACATGAAAAATTATACAATGAACTGGGTTGGGAAACACTATCGGTAAGAAGAAACAAACACAAACATGTAATGATATACAAAATCATACATGCACAGACACCACAATATTTACAAGAAATTTTAGATCCCTTTATTAACAATCAAAATAATAGCCCCTTTCTTCTCAGACAAACAAGGCTTTTTAACCCACTTTTGTGTAGAACTAATGTTTACTTTGAAAGCTTCTCCCCTCACATGTGCCGCACGATTAATACCTCTTATACTGACTTCTTAAATTTTCCCTCTATTGTATCTTTGAAAAACAACTTGAATAAAAATATAGAATCTGATAGTAGATCTGTTATAATATTTAAAACAGAAGGTAGCAGAAGGGCTAATATTATTCTTTGCCAGTTAAGAAACTCATGTAGTAACCTAAATTATGATTTATACAGAGATCACCTTACTAACAGTCCTGCATTTACCTGCTCTGCTTCAAATGAATCGGTGTCTCATTACTTTTTGGAATGCCCTTTGTATGACAACCAAAGAATCTCTATGTTTAATTCTCTCGTCAACTACAATAATCATTATCATACAGATTTAAATAGTCTTCTTCAGGGCTGTCCTGCTTGTGATGAGCTTACAAATAAATTCATACTTGAGGCTGTTCATACTTTTATTGGGAAATCGCGTCGTTTTACCTTTTATACAATTTAGAATGCCAAGATGTATGCTTTAGTCAACAAATTATAAAATGTATTATTAATTACGTTTAACAACAACTGTGTAAAATATTAATTGACCATGGCTGCTGATGAATGCATATAATGATATTTCTTGTACAAAAGAATAATTCTGTTAATATTAGTTTGTTAATACTTGGTATATATATATAATTACAGTATACAGAAATCCTTGTAATCAACCAATTGCTGACAGATGTGACCATGCATTTTCATTCACATGGACATTTGGTCAAACTGTCAATAATATATTTCTTATATATATGTATTAATTTTTATTTATCATACTTAAAAAATTTAGTGTATGTGTGTATGAGTAAAAGTAGTGTGAAAGTTAAATTCTATGAATGACCTCCCTTTACTGTTGTAGGAGTTACCTCCCTTGCGTTTGTTATTTTTCATTTCTAACTACATGTCATCTACTTTTGGCCACTTCAATGTTTGGAGAGAATTTACATAGGCTTTGTCTGTTAATCAATCCAGTTTAACGTTTACATCTTGTTATAATGAAATGAATGATGGGTTACTTTTATCCTTGGTGGTTGCTTTTCTGCGTAAGGTGTTTTCGAAATTGTGTTTAGTGGTTAATAACCCGTGTTAAATCATTGTTAGTATGTATAATTTGTTTGTCATGTGTTAAGATATTGGTAGGCTGTTTTAGGTGGTTTTTAGCCTTTGTTTGGAGGGTTGCTTGTAAGTGTAAAGTGGTTACTATGTTGTTGCTAGCTTTTTATTAAGTGTTTGAGGAGGCCACCAACCTGGATTAGAAGATTATTAGCACTAGAGATGGGAGGTAACTAGGATTATTAAGGTTGTACCTAGTATGTGGTAGTTGGGTACGAGCCTTCGTATGTAGATAGCAAGTAGTATTTGGTTGCTAGCCTGTGTTTTGTGGTTACTATCCTATATAAGGTGATTGTTCATCTGATTATTGAGTCGCTGGTCTATAACAGGTGATTCACGTACTTACCTGTTGTTGTATTCCATCTGTATAGATATAGGAACCCTACACAGTGTCTTGAACTCGTTGGGATGCTCAACTCGAAACTTTGCCAGGGTTTGATACATGTCCAAGAACCTTGTTACGCCGCCTTTCACAGTCTCGTCAAATCTTATGTGAAGCGATATATTTTATTTTTCAAATTACCAATGTTTTTCTTATTTTTGTTATCATTAAACGCGAAATGTTTTTCGTCTTAATGTCATAGAATATCATTCACTAAAAAAAAGAACATGGAAATATATTTTGCTTATTTTATTAAATTTACTTGGTCTTCTTCATAGCATGCGTTTGAAACCAAAATTCACATATGACACGTCTTTATCCAGAATAAACATGGCTCACAAATGCACTCCTTGGATTACTAAGATGAACTGCCTTTACAGTTATGCTAAATATGTGTTCCAAATTGCTTCTTGTGTTATTGAAGAGTCCAACATATTATGTAAACAGCCCGAAACGTTATTAATGGATTTGTCTTATTGAAAAGTGGTTTTTAATAATGTGTCTTTATAATCGTCTAAATGTTAATGTCATTTTCTTTTTTTATTTTTTTTTTTTTTCATTTTTTTTATTGCACAGTACAGACGTTAAAGGTAAATAGGTAAGACCTACCTTAGACAGTGGAGGAACTGGATCCCAGGCTGTCCTTCATACACCGGCAGGTCTTGGTGGAAGTGTAGGGCCACGCTTGTAAATGATGCATTTACTGGGTCATCAAGCGTGGCTACCTCAAAAAGCTGTAATACCACACACGTATTATGTTAACAAAAGCATACGTTTGCTTAATACGTAATAAAATCGACAATAGAATGTCTAAATAAATAAAAAAAATTAAAAAAAAAAAAAAAAACCCACGAGGACCATTTAAAATCCATAGAGAGAATATGACCAGGAGTGCTGCTACTAGTTCACGGGGTGAATGCGATGAGACTGATTTAACGTCTCGCTGCAAATTATCATGTAATAAAGCACCAATAAAAATGTTAAATGTGTTACTTACATATCCGTATGGGGTGTGAATAATTGGTCCAATTTTTCTGATAACCTGAAATCAGGACATGACATAAATATAATTCAATTCAATGTTATGTGGACATTTGCATTAAATACTTAACACTTGTAAATGGATGTTTTTCATAGTAACTAATCTTGATATCTGAAAAACAATGGCAACAAAATTGTATTGTGCATTTTATTTTATTTTTATTTCATTGCATTTTATAGAAATTTCTATGCAGTTAACCTCTGAATGAGGATTCAAGTGTGGAAACATTTCTTTAATGAAGAAGTTTTTCGTTATGTCTGACAATAATCAAAACCAACATTCTCTAGGTAGTCTCTTTCGATGGGAACATCTGATAACTTTGCTAGCCCATTCTCATTCAGCGTCCGCAACCATCTGAAATACAAGACCCGAAGATGTATAATAATAGACAATTGATGCAACCGTTGTTCTTGATTCAAGGAGTAATCAAACTAGGGGAAGTGGAGGAGATAAAATAAGCGAGATGTTATCCGAACATCATGGTTTTAAAAAAAGCAAAGGTATGAAGAAAAAACCAACAGGATAAGTTGGTAAAAATACGATTAGAAAATAAAAGACAGTGAAGCACTATTTCGAGATTAACATGAATTCCAATTTTAGGAAGGATCACATGCATAAAGAATCTTGTACATAAAATGGATCCCAATGTTATCAGTAATTGATAAATTGACAAGATAGAGGCAATGATTAGATGGAAATTCCATCCGCCGACTTCAGACAGAGACTTTTACTCGAATAAAGTGGACGCCGGTAGATACTCATTCATACAAGAGTCTCCCATATGCTTGTCAATGTTACTGCTCATAACCAGGGATCGTTATATCAATATCATACTTATCACGTCAAACTTTTAGCGCAATTTCTCAACACTTCATGCTCTATCCTTTTACATGTTCGAGCAGCATTTTTAATACCAGTGATAACATATTCTTGAAGATTGTACAGTAGCCATATAGGTGAATAGTTAGATACAGTAGAGACAAACAACAATAAATCAAACTACATCTTACAGCTGTTTCGTCAAAGTCAGAACGTCGGATGAGGAATAAGAAAAGAAATTTAAATCTAATTAAAACATTTTTTTGACATTCATCTACAGAAATATCAGAAGGAAAACTTTCCTCTGCCAATTGTATCCTTGAGGATGTATTCCAAGACGATCATGAATGATACTGACGATTAAAGCTATATGATAAACTGGTCTTTAACTATGGTTAACACAGAGATCTTCTAGCTAGAAAACAAGGCACTTGTGTTAGGATGGTTATAACGCAGGCAAATTTTAGTTACAGAATTTGGTACTTATTGTATACAGATAACAAAGAGGCATTTTTTATTGTTGAACAAATGACAAAAATCAATATTTGAAGAGATTTTTACGAGATTTAGATATTATCATATACTTATGTCGTACTGGTAAAGTGCCTCTTCAGAGTTTTCGACGTCTTTCCATGACATAATCTCGATAGTTTTCTGCAAAGTAACCAAAACAATTACATTATTAACACTAGAGCGCTTTCACGTCCTCAATATATATTTACCAAAGTACCTCGATGTCCATATCATAATTCAATCTGTGTTGGACATTGTTTGTTTAATTGAGCAAGTCATAAATAATATCTACCTTGTTGTTTGTAACCCTATATCTAAATTAGCATTTATTAAATCTTTCCTTACCTAACTTTTATTCTTTGCTTTTGACTTTCTGTTTTCTGATGAAATTATTGGAGCGTATGAATCGAAATTTCCTTTTTCATATCTATGCTACCAAAATATCATATATACCCTTTTATGCCATATAAAATACCTTGGAATGGAACGTCTTAGTGTTGATGATAACAAATTTTGTTGCGTGCCAAGAAAATGCAACATCTTTAATGATGATCTAGCACCACAAAATCTTAACGACTGACGAATAAAGTTCAAATATGTTTACTGGTCTTTACGAATACAGATCATCAGTACAGATGTGTTTACTGGTCTAGACGAATACAGATCATCAGTACAGATGCGTTTACTGGTCTTTACGAATACAGATTATCAGTACAGATGTGTTTACTGGTCTAGACGAATACAGATCATCAGTACAAATGTGTTTACTGGTCTAGACGAATACAGATCATCAGTACAAATGCGTTTACTGGTCTAGACGAATACAGATCATCAGTACTAAAGCACGTGCTTAAGCGAATGTCTTTGTCAGTCTTTAAAAGATAACTTACGAGAGTGAAGGAAATAGTATTTACACAAACACAATTTTGCATCACCTTTTCGTGCAACAACAAAAAAAATGTATTCTTTCAATGATTTGACCCACTGGTTGACAATATCAATTAGGCATATATTTATTAATATTTTAATTATTAAATTTTCGAACTACCTTTCCCGCTGTATTGTCCATTCATTTTAAGTTCACACGAGACAAAATTCGCCATGTCAGCCTATCAGAATACGTTTATAATTTAGTCCAGATGTGATATATTTGATTTCTTTGCAATTTAATTCAAATTAAATGTTTATCTCGATTGATTTAATATTGATTTTACAAAGCGATTAAGAGCAATTTGTATCATTTAATATCATATCTTAGACAAATCATGAAATTGGTTATGTGAAAGCAGTCACCTCACCGTTTTGTTAAAGACGGGTTTGGACTCTTCTTTCTTTGCTTGAAGTTGTTCCTTGGAATAAATGTGCTGCTGTAGGAAATCCTGTGAAAAATGTCCGTGATGAGGTTCCTCCTTCCATTCCACCTGTACATCTCCTGTTTCTATTGTCATGTGATCAAAATAGTTTTCGTTAAAACATATATGTAAATGTTTAGATAATTTGATTTAATATCATTTTGCCACAAGTAAAATGAGAAAGTATTTCCTGATAATCTTAATCCAAACTGAAAATCGAAGGAACGATGGTAAAGCTTGAGCAATAGAAACATTTGAAAAAAATAAGTGCCTTGAGCTTGTTCCAAAATTAACACGATTTGAAATATTTTTTTCAAGTGCTCTTTTTTTCAAAGTGGATTGTAACAAAGCGTTATCTGCTTTACTGACGACGACACCATGTAAATGGTTATACTACTGTATACATGTGAAACCCTCGAACGCAAAACCAATTATCCACCTGTACTGATACCATATTGGTAGATAAAACACCTGTCTTAATTGCGTCTTTAATCTTTAATCCTAATGGGATGTCTGCTGGTCTGGTCCTGAACAGGCCGCTAGACTCCTCTCGACAACTTGCGCAGGGACACTGAAACCGTAGCCAGATACTGTGGAAACTGAAATGAATAAAGAGAAACAAGTAATGCACCTTCGGGCATTTTGTCTCGTATACGGCACAGCATAGCTGTTATATGTTTTAAACAAAACCTAAAACATTTTACCCTACAAATGAAAACAATTTTGAGACCAACTGAGTATCAAATTACAATACATTTCTCTGATAAGTGAACTTTTCGTGATTTTCCAACGAGACATATACACGTCTTCTTTTATCTATAACCAACTGTTAAAATAATATATCAGTTTTACTGTTTTCCCCGGATTTCTAGTTGTAACCTTTTGGTTTTGGGACTAATTAATAAAACAAAAAATCGGACGATCCGGCGGCGACATAGAATGTAGATAACGAAACCGCCTCACTTGTAAGATAACAGTGTATGCCACAAAATGTAAGGTAAAACTAAACACAGTAGCTCGGCAACGTTGTTTAGTTCAAACGATTACATCAGCGGCTCACTTAACATTACATTTCATATACTGGCTCAACTCACATGTATGAAACCCGATCTGAGTTAGACAGTCACGGTCATACGATTATGCAATAAAACCACCCTTGAACGACATGTCGGCAGGAGAAGACCACTTTATTACCTTTAAACTGTAGAGTTACATTTAAGGTAGCACAACAGTAAATGTTCTATGTGATTGTATACATACATTACAGATTACTTCTATTTATATAATTTGGGCATAGTTAAACAACAGTTTTTTTCATGTCACAACATATGGTGTTTGTTTCGTGGATACTGTGTGTGCCGATGCGTCCAGTTTTACGCGGGTTACAATATCATCAATGCTGTTCATTGGATAATGTTCATGAAGTATGGCTTTATTTAGGTCTGCTGGGTCAATGAATATTCTAACTGTTCCATTTTTCTTCCTGACACACACTATACTGTTCACCCATTCAGTTGGATTTGCCACGGGAGAGATGATGCCTCATTTCTGAGATTGCCTAGCTCTGCTTTGACATGATTGCGAAGGGCAACGGGCTGTGACCTCGGAACATGAACAACGGGTTCCATACACTTGTCTATCTTTATTTCGTATTCGCCTGGTAAACACCTTATTTGGTCTCCTTTGACGTCATTGTAGCTACAGAGTATCCCATCCATAGCTAGCTGTACTTCGTTCATCCTCGCTGTGAGTCCGAACTTAAAACAATCGTCTCTGCCCAGTAGATTCACTCTGCTCGCGGTGTCAAGAATCTGAAACTCTTTCTTTTTCAACTGTTAATGTTTGACCATTTACACTGAGATGCACTTTCCAGTCATTGTCGCTGTGATGCTTGATGTTAAACATGCCAGTTTTAAAAACATCTTGGACTGTACACTGATCAAATACATCACTGAGATTGTCCTGACTGACCTCCTGGTTGTCTGTATAATGTACCTTTTTGTTACTACTACTTCCTCTGTCGTGTCCTCTACTAGTGCTCCTGTGTCCTCTTCCTGCACCTCTGTATGATCTACAGTTTGTCCCATGACCACTGTCTGTCATATATTTACATATATTGGACGCCTTTAAATGACCCTTTTGGTCACTGTTGTCACAGTGCTTATTATACGCAGGACATTGTTTGTATTCATGATGTCTACAACATTTTTTAGAGTATGGATGTTCTTCCTTATATCTGTAGCTCCTATCGCTATCTCTCTTAAACCTAGCCGAACCACGTCCACAACTTGGGTGTACCATGTTAACATTGGGATTTGCTGCCCCAAGGTTCTTAAGATGAGCTGCAGTTAATTCAACTTGGCGGCATGCTTGAACTACCTTTTCAAGTGTTAAGTCTGCGACGGGAATTTCCATGAGTTTCTCAGAACATTTCATGTCGTTTACCCTGTTGATAACCATGTCGCATATCAGCCCCTCGCTCTGTTCTCCATACTGACAATGCTCGGCCTTACGTTTTAACGTTGCTATGTAGTCCATGATTGACATCGACTCTCGCTTGATGTTTAGAGATTCTTGTCTTTTAATATTTCTATATGTGTGAACACCACAATGTTGATCAAACTTTCTGAATACAGTGTTTAAGCCATATTTGTCTTCGGCATCACGTGCCTGAATATCAGCCTCCGCGTTAGCTTCAACTGCCGGGGCCCAAACAAATGAATCGTATAATTTACCAACATTTCGTCTGCCCGGCTTATCATCGAGTCCTAGCGCGTCTAGATATATTAGAAAATCACGCTTGTAGAGTGTCCACTCTGGCGCCCCTACCTCCCATGGGTTGAAATTGGGTAAGTTTTTAATATCTTTTCCGGCCATTCTTCTTAAACGCGTGTTTGTAAAGTAGAATCAGTGCTGACAACATGCAATATAACCACGCTTGAACGACAACATGTCGGCAGGAGAAGACCACTTTATTACCTCCAAACTGGAGAGTTACATTTAAAGTGTACCCTGAGAGTAATTTTATATTTAGATATAATGTTAAGAATGCCGTATAAAATAATAATAATGAAAACCCCGTCAAAATCCGTCGCCCCAGTGTCGAGTTATTAAAGCTCAAATCATCATTTCCGCGGAATCGAGGCTCTTCTACTCGTGACGTCATAAGTTCAACAGAAATGGCAGTCAACATGACTGACAGTGACAACGACACCGCAACTGAGAGCGATTTGAGCATGAGTTTTGAGGAGTTTGATTATGGTGTGAATGATATGTCTGAAGACGGAATCCAGCCCTACCGATTTGAACTGGAATTACAAGACGATGTATCCAGTGAGGAGGAAAATGACCCTTCGAAAAGTGACGATCGCTTGGGCAACATAGATTGGCACGTACTTCACTGGGTCTCACCAGTAGTCGAACAGTGAATCGTCGTTTCAAAGAAACAAAATAACATTGGGTGTGGTTTTGGACTAATTTTACTATCTTCAAGTCTCGATCAACAATTTCTGACGTCGGGAAATCGCGTTTGTGCAAGACCATGCATACATTCACGAGGTGTCGGGAATTTTCTTACCGAAGAAGTTTCGTCCGAGGGGAATTTTTCTTTCCAGTGAATTTTCGTAGCACTATGGATATATATAGATAGGGTGTCAACAACCAATTATAACGCTGTGTTAATAATAAAAATTTGATGTTTAAACAATTATTTGACTGGTTTATACCCTAGCACTGGTACGCGTCTGTTGTTAGCCGACAGGCGTGTCGCCTCACAGGTGTCACAATTGTTTTTTCCAGCCACAGAGGTGCTAATTACCTAACCTGGCACAGGTGTGATTATGAGTTTAGATGACATCTCTACACTGTGAACTGTGTTTTCAAATCAAGATTGGTGATCTTATTGTTATTTTTACGATCGCAAAATTAATAACTAAACAACATCGTCTGCGGGAAGATCTAAAAACCAAATACACCTTATACAAACAACATACACACATAACCTATTCTATAAATTCTAATAATTCTATTCTATACTATATAATACTAGTATGAAAATTCTCGTGACCCATTCACTAGGCCTTCTCCAAGTATTAGGCGTTCACGATTACGAAGGAATAATATTCCTATGACCGCCGAAGTCATAGGCTAGCCTATCAATTTAAAATGTTTAGTTGTAGAATTAATAACAAAATATCAACCTAACAAATATACTTTTATTTAATCAACAATCAGTTTTATTTATCGACGTCATGCATCGACACCCCATCCGTGTTAGTGTTAGGACAACCATACACACCGCTTCCCTCCTCGATAGGAAGCCATTTTAGCGGATTTAAGCGCTAATTCACCGACCCCTCGTTCACTACCTTAGATATTGCGAAGATGTGAAGTACTTTCACGTAAATAAACAAAGAAATTACCACGGAAAATCCCAAAATAGATCACAATCACATGTAAAGACAATATGGCTGCATCAACAAAAGCGTTGAACTTATGACGTCACAGGTTTGGGTGCCCGAAAACGAGGTCAACGCCTCTCAGCCAAAGGTGTGTTTTTCAGAAAAGTCGCAATTTCTCAGTAACGGAACATTCCACGGCATTCGCGTTTTCGGCATAGTGTATTTTATGTGCAAAACTATTTTTCAAGGTCAACATAGCTGACCTCTCAGGGTACACTTTAAGGTTGCACAACAGTAAATGTTCTATGTGATTGTATACATACATTACAGATTACTTCTATTTATATAATTTGGGCATAGTTAAACAACAGTTTTTTTCATGTCACAACATATGGTGTTTGTTTCGTGGATACTGTGTGTGCTGATGCATTCAGACGTCTACAGCACTTACTATGAAATAATTTGAAAGTGAAAAATATCAAGCTCAGATCAAAAGTATTTAGTTTTCTGTATACATAGATGCAAAACATAGTGTGCAAAAATGATACCGAATATTAGACAATTTTCAAGGGAGACCGTTTTTAATCTTTGAACTACTACTTAACTACTAAACAATTAAGAAGAGACACAACATTTGATGTTGTGATTTGGGAGCGTGATTAACAAATCACAGGTATACCAATTAATCGAGCTATTGTGACATTACTGTACATTGAAATTTTGATTCGCATGATTTTTTTTCCCTTTCTCAGTATTTTGTTTTTTTTTATTTGTGTTTTACTAAGCTTGTCGTTACAATAATAAGTAAGAAAAATAATTCATTGACTTACTCAAACGATTTACCGTCGTCCCAAGTGACATTTAGCTTTTTCCCGCCATCCACTACCTGCACCTGTTGCACTGCAGACAGGAGTTTGCCATTCTGTGTACAAAACAAGTTTCATTGACGGTAACGTGCATTCAATAAAACGAGAACAATTTAAATTATGTCATGCAAAACACTAATAGGATAAGAACACTCATACATATGAATAATATCAAAGCAGATATGTACCAAAATAGATTATACCTGTACAAAGTATAGATGAATTACGTTTCGACGTGCTGCACGTAAACATATTTGTTGATTATTTTTGCTAACGATTCAGGTAGAAACACAGATCACTCAATATGTTTCTTTAGAGCCAAAACAGACATTTACTGGTGTATAACCTACGTGCATATACGTATCTCACATCAGAAACACGTATGATTACAAATGTATTGCAAATCTGTCGTTTTAGCCATATACATTTACATTTGTGATTTGCTCATACGTACTGTCTTGAGCCAGCGAACAGGAGTAACTCTCGTCCCTGGTCCACTCAGGGTCAATCCTTTAAAATGTAATGCAATTAACCCTTAATAGATATGTATTCATAACTTTTAGAACATTTCATAAAGATATGAATATATGCATATCCACGGCGGCATTGTATACATCCAGGCGTGTATACCATGTACACCAAGTTGATTACATTGGACTATCGCTTAATAATCACATGACTTATCCGTACAGCGTATACAATGTTATTTACTGAGGACATAATGTTATTATAATTCTGTAGAAGAAGTTTTGTTGTGAAGCTGAACTTATTACCAAAACAACGTAGAAACACACTGGTCGCTAACCCCTGAATATAAAACCAGTAAAAACCAAATGGAGCTCACTACGAAGTATAGATCCAGATCTACATATGTAATACAAATACAATTCATATCAGACGGGTATCTTCGGATGTCGTGAGTATTATTAATGTTGTAACATACCGTGTTGAGAGCGGCTGATTGTCTGTCTGCAGACGGATCTCAAGACCGAGTTCAACATGTTCAGGTGAATAAATCTGATTTCTCTTTTTACACACAAAACAGAGATTACCACTCGACTTCTTCACTGTTACTGTACAGGATGTGTGGACTCTCATGTGCTGAACCAGTCTCACAATTATCTACACCCACTGATAATGTATCACCCTTGCACGTTGCTATCGGGATAGAGACACATACTGATGTTATTCTCGTTGCGTGACACAGGTATATGATATGAAGAAATTTTATGGATATTTAATTAAACTGTTTGTCGCAGTAAAAAAATCTACAGATTGTATAAATACCTCTTTTTTTCTGATCTCTACATCTGATACTGTTCGTGATAAGTTGTTTGTCTTTAATTCTATATTCAATCTATTGGCTTTCACCTTTAACGTCAATACAGGAAATATAATGTCATTGTTCTGATGTGACATGGGTAGCAGTACACAGTTTCTCGGTGTAGTCATTGGTGATATGTTTGTTCATAAGATTACCCCATCTGAAAGGTTTTAATTAAAATTTGAAAAATAAATCCTTGGTAAAATTGGTCTTGTCTTGTTGAAGTGGACAATATGGGGTTTCATTTTTTCAGAATGATATTTTAGCTTTGTGTTGGAGATTACTGTTTGGACAGTCTCGAATCTGTGTCTACGCACCATAAACTAGCTTTACAGGAAGTGAAATTTTCATAGTGTTTGGACGTGGTGATGTTGTGAAGGATTTCATGAATTTGCTGAAATGTAAGTAGTTTGTTACTACGACAGTGTTGTTGGTTTTAAGACAGGTGTTCAGAAGTATATTTTGTAGTGTTATGTTGGAATTAGCAGTATTTTTGCAATTTTAGCATTTTTTCAGTTGGTAACCACAGCAATTACATGTTACAAATCAGAGGAAGTTTTTGATTTACACAAATTTTATCTCGCTACTATTAATGTAATTGTTAGGTAGTTTATAGATATATATCCATGTTATTGTTTTTTTTTATAACCAATCTGCTACACCTGTATATCTCAAAAATGACCAATAGTTTCAGAAAGTATTTCAGTGGTATTAAGTGAACATCGTTAATAACATTTACATTATATCATGAGGGTAGATGCTATGTAAGGAGTGAAATGACAAACATTGATAATGATTAAGTATAAGAGAACAAACAAACAGTATGATAAAACTATGATGATATGAGTTTACCTTGCTAATGTGGACCTGATCCCTGTTGATCTATTACTAGATAATGATGAAGCATGTTGATAGATAAATCGAGAACATAGAACACGTGGGAGACATTTTCCAGATACCACTGAATATTGAGTTTGTACTTTGGTCATATTCGAACCTATCCTTTCCGTCTCAATCGCTTCTTTTGTAAGAAGTATTGCTTGTATTGTCTTCCGTCAGTCGCGCCACACCTTGATCAAGTCCAAAGTTTATGCAAAGGACAGATCAGGTTTAGAACTTGGTATCGTAGAGCCGAATATTGAATTAACCTGCAACATACTTCTTTCGTCTTTCTAGCACTCGTCCGTGGTGCTAAGGGTCTTAATCTTGAGACCACGAAGGTGACTGAGGAAAACCATAATTGATCGAAAGAAATGTCATAATTTAGATTGGAAGGTACATTAAGCCACAATTTTGTGATTGTCGTATATATCTGATATATGTAGGCACTGCTGGTGAACTTTTTCTTCCCGATATTTGCCTTAACCTGCATGCATTTTAATTTATTTGAGTAATGACACGATTCTTGTTGTTGTTCTAAAATCCTCAAATAAAAATACGAGATTTATTTGATTATGGGGTCAGTGCACATCCCTATATATATTTTGACTTTTCTTTTCATCACTCACCTCCTAGGCCTTCAGCATCCCCGATCAGTCTTAGTTTTATATATACTGGCTCTTCGGTATCTAACTACAAATCTGTATAAAATGGTACAATTCACTTGTACGTCTTTTGTACAAGCTCAAGTACATTTGCGTATTTTGAATAGTGTCACTATTCGAATGAACTAAAACATGGCATGAAGGTAATGACATACCTCATGGACTTAAAGTTTATGACCGGTGTCTACCACATCAAGTTAAATCTAAACATATAATGCTCATCTTAAACTAGACTTTAGAAAGACGAGCATAAATTCCGACAAATTAGTAAATTCTGAATTCAAACTTTATTAGATTGGATATAGATATCTTTTGCCAAAAAGAAGATTTTCAAACAGACCATGGAAAAGTACAAGGGTAATACTATAATTTGATCCGAAGGGTAAGCGTCTTCTGTTTCATCGATGACACCCGCCAAGTAAGCCTTGGATAATCGAGATAAGTAATATCATGTTCCCAAATGAGAACAAGTTAACAACAACGGGCTTGGCAAGGTATCTGTGACTCTGATAAGCTCTTCGATAAATTCCGCCTCGTATAAAAGAACGTCAAAGAGAAGACACAGTTAAAGTAAACTTTAATTTACAAAAAGTAATCAAGCTTAAGAACACATTTAACAGTTACAGAAATACTTAGCATATTGAGAACATCAATACCTCATAAAACTCGAAAAGAAGGCTCGTTATGACAAGGCTGCTCCTAATTATCTCAAAATGAATTCACAATTTAGAAGGCATGCATCATCGGAGAATCTTTGAAGGACGGGACAGCTGTTAATCAATGTTTGCCTATTTTTGATATCTTTCAATAACATGCCTTATTCGTGGTTGAATTTTGCATTTTACTTCATTTGACTTTTTAAATCAGCCAATGGTCACCATTTGTGAAACAGTATCTATCAACTTGAGCTAATGTACTTACCCTTTGAATTTTTTTTAAAACCCGTAGAAAAATAATCTTGCGTCTTGACTTGATGCGCAGACATTGCCCGAAAAGGTTTGGGATGCGTCGATGGAGGCATGTGATGTTTACTGAGATGTCTAGATTCTGTCTGTATCGCTCAGAATTAAGAAAAGGGTATATCGCAGACGAGGTGAGCGTTTCGCCGACGCATGCGTAGTTGAGCGCGATAGATTCGGTGGGGCTTCTGTAATGGTCTGATGAAGTAAAGTACCTCTAAGTGGTCCTGGATCCACACCTCAATGCCATTCGATACAGATACCAGATCCTCCAACCACATGTCCTTCCACTTCTCAGACGTCATTACCTAATTTTCCAAAAAGTCAGCGGTCGACCGCATGTTGCCATAGTCTGTCGTGATTTTCTCACGGCAAACAATGTTCAGACTCTGGGATGGCCCCCATATAGCTTCTACATGTCTCCCATTCAGCATCTGTGGGATGAGCTGGAAAGAGGTATAAGGAAACGTCAACCTCTCATATCCCCATTACCACCATCCTAACCCAACTAACCACGCCCAGTTAATCGCAGCATTTATAAAATAATGGAAAAACATTCCTTTGGACAAATTAATGATCCCATGAATTCTGTGCGTAAGAGAATCCGTGCAGTTATTCGTACATGTGTTGCCCACACCAGGTACTGAAGTGTCATTTTGTTTTTTCGAGTGTCACCCACTTCGAGTAACTACTGGCGACACAAGTGATTTCACACTGACTTTTCTTCTACAGTATTGTAAAGAGTAGACTTGTCAATTCACATTGATGTAAAATTTTATACAAGTTTCCCAAAATGTCATAGGCTAATGATTGTATAATGTAATTGTGCGTTTGTTATTTCTGAGTATATTTGATGTGTGGAACGATATATCTGTAATAAGGTTTTAATTTGTCATTTCATAAATTAACACTGCTTCAAATGAAATTCCAATATTGTATAATCAAATAAGGTTTATTGTTTAAATATAACCCACAACACGACAAGAGGTCATCTTCCTTCGTAAGTACGTAAGACCTGATACAATAATGTAATGTTGGTTCATTAATAGAATCGACCCTATAATGATTTCAATGATGTCTGGTGTGATTTTGAACTCACTAATTAAGATATGGCTAAAATGTTTGGTCTGAAACATCGGCACAATTAGATCTAGTGACAAGATAAGTAATTTCATTATTTGAAACACATACAAAATAAAAGAATAAACAAGAAAGAAAAAATGAAAAGAGACCTTTGAGCTTTGTTTGTTGTCATCTTTGGTGCACATGGTTACGTCTTTCAATCGATTTCAGCTTTAAGGAAAAACTTCGCGAAAGGCTTAAAGCAGAATTAATCATGTATGATTGAAATCAGGCTATCATTAAGTTTCCATACCATTTCGTAATTGGAATTGGTATTTATTGGTATAACAAGTCAAACAAAAGTTATCCATCCACTTGACTTTATATGGGGACACATCTAAAGGCGAAAGCTGCAGGCACAGCTGGAAAATTTTAAGATAGTTATAGGTGAAGATGTTATGTTACCAAGTGAGCTTAAAACTAGCAAACGCGTCAGGATATATCATTATCTCATATATTTAGATAAAGTACTCTGGCAATTGCAAACCACATGCGTTTTAAATAAGTTACAGAATGGGATGCAATAAAAATGAGTGCATTCTTCAACTCGGTTCTGATCAGTTTGTGGTAACCAAAGAAGCTGCTCTCAGAGCTTTTGGTTCCAAAATTGAAGCATTCCTTGACACTTCATCCGAACCTGATATGTTCACGAAATACATTATTAGAAGACCAAGGGCATCCACTTTGGCCCTAATAGAATATTGTTACACCGGACAACTGCACATACCTCAAAGCGTTTGTAAGGGCGAGTTTTTAACAGAATTACAATTCTGGGGTTTAAGATACAAACTGTTGGAAACGTGCTGCTATCAAAAACTCTGTATATTCTTGAACAATCAGCAAATGCTTAAAGGGTTTCAAGAAATGTACACTCGACAAGAAAACAGCAGTACAGACAGAAAACAGTACAGGAGTGTCAAGGAACGAATTTGGGGTATTGTCAACAATGATCGAAAGTCAAGATTATCCAAGGTATGTAACTTTGATTTCCGGTACGGTTTTCCTATTATGTAGTGAGGTTTAATTCTTAATTGGATCAATTTTAAGCTGTCTTCATGTGTAAAAACACATTTATGTAAACTATAAGTTTCATGGTAAAGGAGTATATTATATAATTTAAAGAAGAGATCACGTCCATCTCCGGACGTTGTTTACGAAATCTGATTGGTGTAGGATTTAGCATTGCCTTCTATGACTTACGTGTTTAAGGTTTGCTGTAAAACGTTATGTTATACTTAAACCGTCGATAGCAAGTGACAAAACATACCATGACTTGTATGCTGATCACTGAGATCATTAGTGGCGATTATTTAAATCATATGAGTGTGTGTTTTTGGAGGGGATGGGGGTTCCATTTATGTCCTGGCGTTTTTCATTCCATTAAAATAAGTTTCTACTGCATTAACTAATATTTAGAAACCCAATTTGCTGTAATTAAGTCATTGCCATAGTTAAAATTAGGAAGATTTAGAAACAATGTGATACGACAAAGTATATTCGTTTTTTGTTTAATGCCCCCGGAACAGCCAGGATTATATGAAGACGGGTGTTCAAAACACAAAGATCAAGAGTGTGATCTAGTGTAACATACACATTTTGGCATCACTTAAAAAGATCTTCAACTTGTGATGTTATCCTATGGTGACATGGTTTCGATTCATAAAGTGAGCGTATATGAACTACTTTTTTACTAGTGGAAGACATACTAATCTAAACGCATCTGTTAAATTTGGAGACTTAACGAACTTACATCTAATTCCGTAATATTTGAACTTGACTCCATGATAATCTACTTCCAGGTTTACTTCCGCGTGTCGACAACCTTTGTAGTGCTGATGATTGCCGTACTCGCCATCACCAGCATGAACGACGTATCTAAATTGACACAACGGAACATTTCTACGCAACTAGAAGACATGAACAGCACAATAACCTCTGATTCATTACGAAGTATCAGTTCGACGGTGGATGAAGATAATTCAAAGACCCCATCCTTTTGACAACGAGACACAGATAAAAGTTATATATCCTTCTATGACCTTTCAGGTGTCTTGTGAATTTTGTAGTACCTTTGCTCGCCGAAGCCCCGAGTTGTCTCCAACTGATGAAAACATCGGCTATAGGGTAGAACATACAGACATTTACTTACACATTCCAAAATGTTGCCAGTTACGATTATCGACACCAATTACAATAACAGAAATAGGTGTCCCACTTACTGAAGAACCTGACTATAGCGATACATATCCTCTGAATACATCTAAAACGTATGTTAACGCTGATGCCATCAATCACACTAACAAATTAAATTGGACACAGTTAAATCCTGGAACCGTTCAGTTGTTAAATCACAGTTTTAGTAAAAATGATACCATCATTTTTAAAAACGATAACTTTACGAACAATTTTAAGGCAGAAGAATCAAAAGTCCAGAATATAGTGACTGGTATTTTGACCACTGTTTTAAATTCAAAGGAAAAATTGTCTTCATTTTCTTCGATACTAAAACTAAGCGACTCCTCCGATCTTGAAATGATTCTGTGTCATTATATTGAACGCGTCATAACAACATTCTTTACTATTGAATTTGTCCTCAGACTCATTTCGTGTCCAAATAAAAAAAGACTTCTTCTGTGGTGCATTGAATTGGTTAGATTTTATCTTGCTACTTGGGAGTTTCAGTAGAATTCTGTTAGAATTACGAAATGATGCGACAGCGACAATGACCTTGATATATGACCTCCTCCTTTATTTACAAATTTTTCGTGTGTTGCGCCTTTTTCGGACAATAGAACATGTCAAAGCATTTAAGGTCCTTCGTTATTCTCTTGCTACTGGAATGAAAGATATATACGTCCTGGCCATGTACGTCATAGTATCGATGTGCATTTTTGCCAACTTTATCTTTTTCGTTGAAAATAGATCGGATTTTCCCAGTCTTCCCGCGGCATGGTGGTTTAGTATAGTAACAATGACATCGGTTGGCTACGGGGATATGGTGCCACAGACAGCTTTGGGCAAGTTGATAGGATGTCTGTGTGCTCTAACGGGCGTTGTGTTGTTTTCGCTCATCATACCCGTTTTTGTCAATACGTTTCTCACAACCTATGAATACTCTGACGGGTCTCAGGACGGGGAGGCAGGTGAAAGCAACTCACAAACAGGCAAACATTAAGCAACGCTCTCTGCTGCTAAAACTGCGTCTCTTAACCACAAGGAAAGAGGAGAGAGACGTCATCTGTATTATGTTGAAGTACAATGTCCCAAGAAATACACGAAAGGAAATCTCCAACAGAAATCTTCAGACGGGAAAATGTTGATAACTCAAATTTAACAATATCTCACAATAAACTGCAAGCACGTCTTACAACACGGCCGACTAGCATGGCGTTGTTGTTGAATCAGCCCTTATGGGACAAATATGGACACAAGGTTTAATTGTTTATCGTTTTTAACATAATGTATTTTGGTATACTTTAATTTTGCATCCAATTTTTAAAAGGTACTTTGAGTCAACATTTACCATGGTATTACAATTTTTAGTTTTTCCGATATGATGATATAGAAGTATTGGGGCGACCATGGAGTAATATGTAAAAATTTAGGAGATTCTTTAGGGAATGTGCCAATTAGTTGGATATCTTACTATCGTCTCTATGTATATGTGCGTTATGTTAATATGCTCATCTGTTTCGTTGGTCTAAATATTCATTTACATTAAATTGTATTCACTAACTTGAGATGAATTACAAAGTTTACTTTGCAATTTTGTCCAATTGTTTATGTTATGTTCAATAGCATTTGTTGAAATGAAATGAATGTTTTGTACTGCATGCATTTAACGATACAGTAGCATGTGACGGTTGGTCACATGAGACTTCAATGTGCTGCCATACCGTGTTTATAGATAGCAGACACCAGATGATCAAATATCGGTCACAGTATATCGGAATGGATCTAAAGAATATATGTCTTCTTTAATTGATAGGTATGGCAAGGTATGTCTTCATGATGTAACTCAAAATTGACCAACTATACTACCAGCAGTTATTAACAACATTATGTTGAGAAAGTCACGTATTATGATAGTATTGTGGATATATACATAATACCTGATAAAATCATGTTATATATGTCCTCATCGGACTTATGCACTATGGCATGAAAATCAATAGCATATTGTACATAATGTATATTAGTTATTCATATACAGTTTATAATGCAATTGGGTATAAGGTAACGACCTAGAATAACATTAATCATGCATGAATGTCCATTTGAACTCATTAATGGAGATATTGCAGAAATGTTTCGACTGACAAATGTAAGCAATGTTTTACCTAATGGCTTGCTAGCATATATAAAGTAACATCATAATTTTTAAACATTTATTAACAATTGTAAACAAGGAAAATAAAAAGAAGTCATTTTGATAAAGTGGATGTTAGCTTTGTTTATACATGATCGCCATCTCCCGTTAGCACTAGCGTCGCGTCGATAAAGGTATGGGACGCATCAACTACATAGAAGTCATTAAACGAAATAAATTATGTATGGTTGAATTCGAGGAATCATTTACTTTCCTCTGTATTGTGTACAAGCAGTGTAATATATCATTATATCCGGACACCCCTTACTGACACTTCTTTCCACACAGCTATCATATGCTTGACGATATATTCCATGCCGTGTTTAAGACCTAAACAATCGTTTCAAAGAGCATTATCATTTAATGTACATTTTAAACAAACAATTACAGATTATAAGTGTTTGAAGTAAAATTAGTAGGACGACACTATGGATAGAAACATAAATGAGTGCATTCTTCAACTTGGTTCTGATCAGTTTGTGGTAAACAAAGAAGCTGCGCTCAGGACTTTCGGTTCTAAAATGGAAGCATTTCTTGACACATCATCCAAAGCTAATGCAAACAAGAAATATGTGATAAAGAGACCAAAGGACTGCACCATGGCCTTTATAAAGTGTTGTTATACCGGGCAACTGCACATCCCTCAAAGCGTTTGTAAGGGCGAGTTTTTAACAGAATTGCAATTCTGGGGTATAAGATACAAACTGTTGGAAATGTGCTGCTACCACAAACTCTGTACATTCTTGAAAGATCAGGAAATGCTCAAAGGGTTCGAAAAAATGTACACTCGACCAGAAGACAGCAGTCCAGACGAAACAAAGCACTGGAGTGTCAAGGAACGTGTTTGGGGTATTGTCAACTGTGATCGAAAGTCAAGATGTTCAAAGGTATTTACATTTTATCTTCAATCTAATTATGATAATAGTTATAATAGCATGAAATTTCGTACAAATGAACTTTGAACAGTGATTTAGAAATGGGAGATCACGTGAAAAACCTGCGTTTTTTGTTGTTCGGGATGGCGGTGACTTGACGGTAATGAATTGGAGAAGGCTTAAAAGATATTTCAAATAATTAATTCATTAAGATATCTATTATAGACCTGCGGTTTGATTACGTTGTCTTTCTCAATTGCGAAATCCAAGATTCATAATTATCCCCGATTGTATTTTGTCACATTTGTCAATAAATGTCCTTTATATTATGAATATTATGAAACTTAAAAAGACACAACGGGAATTCAATTATTATGTTGAAGTATCCTATACGTCGCAATAACAAAACTAAAACTAATGAAAATAATTTTTGAAACCTCAATAATGTAAGGAATGAACAAAATGAGTTAAGTATAATAACAAATCTCAAATGAGTGTGTTATAATTTCCTTTAGACAAGACCTCACTCAAAAGTGCTTCTGCTAGGTTCTGGTTCTGGTTCGTTTGTCTTCTATGCATCTCGGAATCAGCGACAACCCATCACTTTACGGCTGGTTTGATGGGACTCTTTTTATGAATGGAATTTGTATTTATTATTTCATATACACTTGGTGTGTAAGGATCGCTCATTTTTTGGTGATGTACAACAATACCCGCACTCACTCCGTTTGTAAATCAATTTCCCTCAAATGAAAGTAAAAAATATTCCTTTTCTTGATTAGTAAAAAATCTAATATCGTATGAAAAATTGACTTCAGGTTTGTCGTTTTCAGGATTAGCACGGTCATATACCACCTATTTAGTTCATCCATGGGAGAAATTCAAGAAGATATGTCATATCACTTTGCCCTGTATCCCCTCCCCTCTTCCTCCATTCCAGTTACTTATTTCTGAAGGTGAATTCTTAGCCACATACACTTTTAATTAACTTTTTTCCTAAGTTTGGATGTTTTTATATAAAAATGTAGGCATTTCATATTCTACTTTTTCCATTAATTAGAAGTGCAATTACTGTGGATTAATGATTTGCTATTTGCTATAATGACGAGCTTTTGTCTTTTCCATTTTCACGGACAAAGGCAAGGGGGTCGTTTTCAGACTTCTAGTTTTAACAACAAATAGCTAAATAAATAAATGGGTGAATATTTTTATTCAAAACATTAATACGCAAATTGGTAAATCACTTATAATCTAAAATATTAGTTGTTGGTTTTTACCGATTTCAGTGTTATTAGGAACATGGTCGTTATTTTGAAAAAAAAAAACTGAAATAGGTATTTATCAATATCCCTTCATTTCTATATCCTATATTCACTATTATGATTCAAAATACATTTGTACCGAGAGAAAATGTATTTGGTTGTTTATCAAAGTTTCGACAAAATTACGACAAAATTACATAAATATGTTGAATGATCGAATAGATTCCTAACAAATATCTCGTGAGTACGAATATCATATTTTTCATAACTGCAATATGGCCAGGAAACTACAGGGTAATAACGAGAAAGCTCTTTGTTTTCTGCCCATTATGTTTATATGGACTGCGAAAAAATTGTCAAACATGCATGCCCAGACTTGTTTGTTTTGGAGATTGGCTCGCGGAAATGTCTTAAACAGGCATGAGCAGACTGGGTGACTTCCGTTTACAGTCAGGTGATCGTAATGTAGACGTTATATTAAAGCCCCAATATAC